GTCCCCAGCCCTTAAGTTAACTTGAAGATAGTTTGGCCGTATTTCAGTTTGAAAAGAAGGGGAAATTGCAGGTCACTGGTGCATGGTCGGGCCGGGTGCATTTTTTTAATTTAAAACGGTAGACACCGAGGCCTGAAAAGCATCTGCAGCCCGTGCACTTTAACTGCTCCTCCCTGTTAACCCCTGTGTACCTCGACCGCCAGCTCCGGCGGCGTCCCCTGCTCCCGGGGACTTCGGACCCGCCCGGGCAGCGAGCCCGGCGCGGAGCCGCGGAGGGCGACCGGGACGGCGGAGCCGAGCGCTCCACCAGCCTTCCACCCCCCCACCCCGCCCCTCTTGGCCACCAAACTCCGGGGCTGGGTCGTACCCGCCGGCAGGATGAGGCCCCCGGCGCGGAAGGGCGGCCAAGCGACAAGGAGCTCGCTGAGGGCCCTCCCGCCCCTGCCGGTCCCTCCGCCCCCGCCCAGCCCCGGGCGGCCGAGGCAGCGCTCCCCGCAGTGCCCCCCGCAGCGCCGCCGGGGCAGCGGCAGAGATGCTCGGCTTCTCCCTTCAGCCCTCAGCCGGCCCCCCTCAGTCCGGGACACACTGGAAAACTTCCCTCGCCCCTGGCCAGCTGGGCATGCTGATAAGGGCAGGCGATAGGCGGGGAGGAGGGGGGGGGGGCGGGCAGGGTAACAGAGCCGGAATGAGGGAGGGAAAACTCCCGAAACGAGGAGAGCAGGGAGCGGAGCCTGAGCTAACTCCGGGGAGGATGCCTCAGCACTTTCTCTATTATGCATTTCCAGCACAAGGAAAGCTAATTCCTCCGCTGAGGGCCTCAATCAGGCATTTATTTGACACTCATGATGCATGAACGGCTAAACACTAGTCTAAGCGGAGGATCAGCCGCTAGTTTATAGCTCGCGAGGTTTTTTTTGATGCAGGTGAATTATGTTGATCTCTGAATGCCTCGTATTCCTGGGGGGGGAGGGGGAAGGAAGGTGCGGAGAAGATCGGGCGGAGAGAGAAAGAAAACAAGAAGGAGGGGAGCGTGGAGGAGATGAACTTCTTCAAGCTCTTCTTCCGCACACCCGGGAAACTCACTCTCTGGCCGGGAGATTGACTGGCACCCCTCCTCGTGGCCCTCTCCTGACCCCCAGTGTCCCCCGCTTGCCCCTCTGAGCTGAGAGATGGCCCGGTTGAACCCTCAGACATTCGGCCAGGCCGGGCCGCTCTGCGGGGCCCCTCCACGCCGCGGTGGGGAAACACTCCCCCGGGGAACGGAGGCGTAACGTGGAGCGGGGAGAGTCACGGAGACAACATGGAGGGGGGAGAAGAAGAGGAGGAGGGGAGAAACCATATGGAGCAGGAGGGAGGGAGGCGACACGGAGCGAGCGAGCCGGGAGAGCAGGGGAAGCAGCGGGGAGCCGGGCGGCCGCCTCGGCCCAGGGCATGGGGCGGGCGGGGGCGGCCCCAGAGGGGCCTGCAGAGGCTGGGGGTCTCGGCAGGGCATCGGCCAGGCCCTGCTACCCGCCCGGGTTGCGCTTTCTCCCCATCTCCTCTGCATTCCCCCGGGCACTACCCTTTATCTTCCTCGCCCCCCCCCCCCGGAGAATTTATTTTTAATTTTTTTCTCTCCTGCTGGCCTCTTTCCAACTGTTGTTCCAGGACCGAAAAAAAAAATAACAATTAAGTAGGAGTCATGTCTTGTGACTTGCACAATCTCTTCTAACGCCTGAGTTCAATTTTACACAACATTTAATACAAATATTAAAAATCAATATATCAAGGGGGTTGTTAATGAAATGTTACAGTGAGTGTGTGTCACCAGATAGGATTTCGGTGGGAAACATGTCTGATTTAGCAAAAGCTGAATGCAGTTGTATTCTTTATCCTTCTGCTAAAAACAAAAGATAAAGGTGTTCATTAAATCATATCAAATCGAATTAAACTCTATTGGCGGGTCCCTCCAGCAGAACAGAAGTATGAAAAGCAGGGGTTGGAAAATGAATCTCAATGCATCTCTTGACAACGGAACAGGAATCGGAACGCATTAAAAATAAATCAGAGCTCTGCTGTAGGTCACAACAGAAGGATTAGATTGTAGTGGAATAATGGGACGAGAGACAGAAAGGCAGAGACTACCCTGCAGGTACACCCTGGCACTAGAAGGGGAAGCTAGATTTTTTAAACCATGGGTCACACCAGGTCTGTAAGAGACAGTCGTTGCCCTGTTCAGGTTGCTTCTTCATCGCCCCTTTCCCCTGGTTGTCGGGGCTGCAGTGCTTCCCAGCTTCTCGGCAATGCTGCCAACTGGGCATTTTGCAGGCCGGTGGCTCTGCCTGTCCTTTCCCCCGGCTCTTCGCTTCTCTCCCTTTTCTCCACCCTGACTGGACCCCTCTCTCCTTGGCTCGACTCTCCCCTCTTTTATCCCGGCCTCTCGCACTATTCAGCTCTTTCCCGTGACCCGTCTCAGCCCTTGCAGGAGTCCTTGGGAGCCGTCTGCAGAGCAATCTGCCAAAAACCTGGCAGCTGCCCGGACGGCAAGGAGCAGCAGCGCCGCTGACAGCGGCCGCCGCCCTGCCCAGCGCCCGTCCCGATCGCAGCCCGCCTTGTCTCCGTGCCCAGCTGCGGGGAGCGGCGTGGGGGGACAGGGCGGGGGTGGTTCTCCCCTCTGCCGCGATGTGTCCGAGAGGTGATGGTGATGGTGTAGCAGCGCAAGGAGCCCAAGCTGTGCCCCTGTGGGAACTCGGGGGCTCGGCCCGTCCCCGAGCCTCCTCCCAGCGAATCGGGGCCCCAGTTCGGGCCGTGCTCCGGCGCAAGCCATGGCAGCAGTGAGCGCGGGAAGGGTCTGTGACCGCCGGGGCGAGTGCTGCCGGACTCTTCCCGAGCTCTCGTCCAGCTTCCCCAGGCTTGGACTTCGCTCTTCGCTCTCCTAACACAGCTCCCTTCGCCCTCCTCTGCCCAGAGCACACAGGGATAGTCCCTTCCTCACCCCGGGAGCGTCGAGGCTTCTCCTGCCCTGTTAGTGGCTGGGTGCTAAACCAAAGTCCCTGCTGAGCAGTCCGAGAGCAGAGGGTGTGCACAGCCCCTGCTCGGACCGGGGGCCACCTTTCGCCCCGTGTGGGCCTGCGGCGGCAGACGCTGCAGAGAGGCTCGGGAAGGGTGAGAGAAGGAACGGACCCCCGTCCCCTCATCCCTTCCCCAGGCTCTTCCTCGAGCGGCGGCAAGACGTACAGGCCAGTCAGAGGCCGCTGGGGCCACTGGGGAGACAGCGGGAGCAGCTCTGCCCTGCTGCCTGCAGAGCCGCGAGTGAGCGAGGCGGCGGCGGGAGGCAGCGGGGAGGCTGATGCGCGGCAGCCGGGAGGGCTCGGCACCGAGCCCGGAACGCGCCGCGAGAGCGGGAGCGCGGCGCCCCCGCGGTGCGGCCAGAGGGGCCGGCACCGCCGAGCCCCGGGGCGGGAGTCCCGCGGGCATCGTTCGAAACCCTCCGGCACACGGCCGTCTTGCCGCTTCGCGATCGGGAGGCTCCGCTCCCACTCCCTCCACCTCTCCCTTCCTGCCTCCCCGGGGCCGGCCGTGCAGCACAGCAGCGGCTGGGCGTGCAACACCGCCGGAACGCGATAAACAAGGGCGGCCAGCTGCCCTCCGCCCGCTGCCAGCTCGCCGGCACTGCGCCCGGCAGCGCAGGGGCGCAGCCGGAGCCTGCCCCGCTCCTGTTCCGGGGTCGCGGGACCCCGCGCGTCGCCTCCGGAGCCGGGGCCAGCTGGGGGGCCGGAGATGCTCGCCGTGGTGGCTCCGTACGCGGCTGCACGCTCGCCCTGCCGACCACGCCACGGGCTCATCTCGCCGGGAGCGCAACTTCTGCTCCGACCTGAAGTCGCAGCTCCTCTGTTTGTTTATTTCCCCGGCCGCGATGGCCGGCTGCCAAGCACGCCGACCTTGCCTATTAAAAACCCATTTTTCTTGCCCTGCGCGGAGCAGCAGTTTGCTCGCCGCGCTCCGTTGTTCCGTTAAAATAAAGCGCTGCAAAGTCTGCTCGGGGGTGCCGGGGGAGGGTGGCAACGGGGTGGCGGTGGAGCTCTGCCCACCTCTCGTGTCCCGCCCCAGGGCCGCCGCGGTCCCCGGGGCGCCTCCCGGCGCAGCCCGCGCCGGCCGTCACCGTGCCCCGGGATCGCGGCGGGGGGGGGTGACCGCCCCGGCTCCCCGGCCAAGCCATTTCCTGCCCTCCGAAGCCGCGGCCTCTTGCCGGCGGCCAAGCGGTAGCCGGGTCTGGCTGGGGGACGGCGGGCAGCAGGGCCGGGCGGAGAGGTTGGAAAAATCAACACGCGGCAGCGGTGGCGGAGGGCAGTGGCTGATCCCATTAGCCGCGTCGAGCCGGAGCGGCTGAGCCGGAACAGCGGGGTCACCGCTGCCAGGCGCGCCTCGGGGCGTCGGCCCAAGTGGCGGGAGGGCGATACTCCCCCCTCCTCCTCAATGTCTGCCTCCGGGCCCCCTCTCCCTTGTCGGACGTGTCAGCTGAGAAGGGTAATGGAGGGGACGCACCCACCCCCAGGGGCAGGAGCCTGACGGCTTTGTCCCGCTGGGCGCGGAGGGCCCTTTCGCCTCGCCGCTTTGTTCTGAGACGGCCCTGCTGGGACGCGCTCCGGCCAGCCCGCTCGGCTGGGTCCCGGCTCGCAGCTCCCTCACTCGTGGCACTGCCCCTCTGATCCGAGCCTCCTCCCATACTGGAGGGCAGCCTCTCTCCCCTTCTCCTCTAGGACGATCTAAAAGTCGTCCGAAGCAAGCTGCTTTTAGAGCAGATGCAACAATAAAGTATATTGAAATAAGTCTGCGGTTGGTGAGTTTCCAGCGATACTTAATGGCACTCGCGGTAAACAGTCCCTCTCTGTGCGAGCGGGGAAAATCATCCAGACACAAGCACATTCCACCCTCTTTAGGGCTCCCTGGCTGTTATTATAGTTATTGCATTACTCTGGTGTAAGCCTTTTGTAACTAAGCTTCTATAAAGCCCCGCTTACAAGCACCCTGATTAGAATTTTCCTTGCCAGTAACCAAAGGCCACCCGCTTTCCAGTGCTATACAGAGGGAGCCGTCAACAGCCACCCCTCTGAATGTACGCTTTGTTCCTGGCAACAAGGAAACGAGTGGGCTTCTATTGGGGAGAATGCAACCCTTCTTTTAAATATCACACAGCGAGAGCTGATGGGGCACTGGGCTTCGGAGAGGCCGCGGTGGAGGGAGAGAGACACGGTGGGGTCACGGGAGCGCGGAGTGGCCGAGCCCTAATGCTACCCACGAAACGGCTGCCACTCAGCCGCGGGCCTGAGGATCATCTGGCTGATCCTGGCTCAGGGGCGGGCAGGGACGGAGCCGGGGCCTGGAAGGAGAAGAAAAGGAGGACGGACGCAGGATAATGGTTTCCCAGCGGCACACACCGCTCGGGCACCCTGCCTTCCAGCTCCCCAGGCACGGGGCAACCAGCAGTTCGCAGGCCCGGGGGTGGACCCGAGTGCAGAGAAACGATCGCGACCCACCTAGAGCTGGGGCACACCCAGCATCCCCACTCCTCGCGTCCCGCCGCCTCTCCAGGGATACTCGGTGCCCTGCTAAAGTAAACGCCGGGCGGGTGCAGGACATCTCCATTTCTGCACGCACGGCTTGGCTGGCGGGCACCTCCATCTCCAGGGAGGAGGAATACCCCGGCGGCGAGGAGGGAGCCCGGCTCGCCCGGGGCGCTCCCTCCGTGCAGCTGCAGCACGGCCTCCCCCGGCGGGCTCCGCAGCCAGCCCGGCTATTGTGAGCGCCCGAGAGCCCCTCTCGCCGGGTGTAAGCAATTACTGTGGTATGTCCAACATGTATTTTAGTGACATTACTAAGGAGGTGAGAGCTTGGCGCTCAGAGGGCCGAAACGCTGCGCTTTCGCTTTCATTCAGGATGTGTGTAACGCAGAGTCTTTTCTCAGCGCGTCTGATTTTTAACTTCCTCTAAACCTCTCTCGCTCTTTTTTTTTTTTTTCCCTTTGCTCGGAGAGCAGCAACGAGAGACCGAGAGGAAACACGCTGCTGCTGTGCAAAATGTGGACCATGTGTGGGAACTATTTACTCCGAGTGCAAACTGCAGGCACCAGGCGAGGGGCTGGCAGAGCCGGGGGGTGGTGGAGAGAGAGGCTACGTCTCTTTCTCTCTTTTCCCCCCGCCTCGTCTTCCCTAAAGCCAAACCACGTCGCTGTGCGCTGTGTGTGTAACGGTGCGTTTTACTGACTTCTCGCTGGGCTCGTGTTGGGGTTGTTTGTTTTTTTTTTCCAGTCCAAGGCTTTCGCGATATGCTTTTGTGCTCACCCGCCTCAAGCAAAGGGTTAAATCTTTGGAGTCCTGCTAGGAAGCTGAGTTTCAGGAAAAAAAAAAAAAAAAGAAAGAAAAAAGAAGGGGGGCAGCAGGAAGGAGTGAGAGCGTGACGAAGTGGGCAAAGCGGGCTGCATGGTCCCCTGATCGCCCTTCTGACTGCTGTAGAATAATACAAATAATTATTAATAATAATCCCCAGCCTTTATTTTCTATTTGGCTGTACCAGGAAGTGCCTCTGGCCTTGAAGCACTCTATTACCTCTCTTCCCCCCACCCCCGTCCTTTCCTTGGGAAGTGAGAAGAAAAAGGTCTGCAGCTGACAAATATTATCCATCCTTTTCATCGATCGGAGCATATACAGATGTGATAGCTTGATGTACACTGCAAACCGGCTGATCCATCGCTTTCTCCCTCTCTCTGGCTCTGGTTCGGCCCCCTCCTCCTCCTCCCCCTTTGTTCTTCCCCCCCCCCCTTCCCTCTCTTTAAATAGATTTCAAGGCGCTGCCTGTTGGAGAGCAGCTCTCCAGAGAGAGCGAGCTATTGCTTCCCTGCCGATAGCCTCCCCCCTTCTCCGGTTTCCAAACAGAAAACAATCCCCGGCCCAAGGAACCTGTGCTGGGGCTGGCGGAAGGAGTTAAACTGGCAGCGTAGAGCGAGATAAGGAGGCAGCTCCTTGCACCATTGCCTTCGAGTCCTGTGTTTAAAAAAAAAAAAAAAAAAAAGAAAGAACATAAAATTAAAATAAATAACAATAAACATAAATAAATAAAAGTGTAATTCGTGGCTCCCCGTCGTGCACCATCACGTGGAGAAGAGGCAGTTTGCCCAGGGGCAGCGCCCGACCCGGCCCCGGCGGGCGCTGCTCCGAGCCTCGGGCTGTCCGGCGCGTCTTGGAGCGGCTGGGAGGCGGCTGGAGGCGCGGAGCGAAAGGGTTAAGCCTCCCCTCCACCGCCCTCCTCTCTCGCCAGAGAATAAGCGCTCTCACGAAGCGTTTCTGGGGAGGCAGGCTGTGAGCAGGCCTTTCACAGTGGATCCATGGCTACCTCGGCGCCTGTCACCGAAACGCTGACCCTCCCCTGGTGCCCTGTGCAGTCAGAATGGGCTACTACCAGCCACTTGCAATCAGTTTTTCGAAAGGTTAGACAAGGTCCCCTGTCCTCGCAGACGGGAGGCATTACGAAACCGCCTTCGTATCTACAGGAACTTACACAAAAAATAGGCGAGAAGGAGGCGAGGGAGAGAGAGCAGCTCTCCCTAGGCGAGGACCGAGTCCGGGCGTTGGGCCGGGGGCTCTCCCCAGGCGGGTGTAGGGACCCCCACGGGCACCTCCCTCAGCTGGGGCACCGCGCCGCCCTGCAGGCAGCTCGCCCTCGGAAGACCCGCAGTAGCCCTTGCTCAAGGCCGCCTCCCAACCCTGCCCGGTGCTCGCCCGGTGCCGGGGAGAACCAGCCGGCGCCGGGGCTGCCGCGGCGAAAATGGAGCGGGAAGAGGGAAAAGTGCTATCCGGAGAGCTGTTGTGACAGATGCTAAGCTTTGCCCTACGCGTGCTGGTGAGAGAAGGAGTTAAAAGCAAGCTGCTTTTTCGATCGAGCTGCTTCCCCGAGCGTCGGAAGGAGCGGCTTGCTAGAAAGCCGTCCATCAGCAACCAGTCCAACCTGCCCGTGATAATATGCGATCAACACCAAATCACCCCCGCTAGGCACGATCCATCATCGCTACGATGCAATGGGCCCTTGTATGGATGTGTCTACAAGGGGGGCGGGTTGGGAGAGAAGGGGAGGGAGCGGAAAAGAGAGAGGGAGACCGTGTGTGGATGTGTGTGCGAGATATGTGTGTGTGTGGGGGGGGATCGCATCATTCACCGGAATGGGAATCGCCGCCTCCCCCGGTTCTCGGCGAGCGTAGCTGCCCGAGCCAGCGGAGCCGAAAGTTGCTGGGCCGGGGCTGAGCGGGGAGCCTGGCGCACGGCCCCGCCACCGCCACCGCCTCCGACTGACATCAGCCTCCCCTCCCCCTCCTCGCTCCTCCTGGGCAAGCTTGACTGGCGTAAAATTAATAATTAATAGGGTGAAATTGATTAAAGGGCTGGGCGCACGATGGGGGCGCTCGGAGAGCCCTTCCCCTACCCGGTCGCTCCGCATCCGCCTCCCCGCCGGCAGCGGCCCGGGAGCGGGGACTGGCCGCCGCCGGCGAGCCAGGGGAGCTCCGGGGCAGCTCAACCCGAGCAGGAAGGAAAAGGGCGGCGGAGACCGGGGAGGAGGGGGAAGGCGGTGGCTGCAGCAGCAAACCCTGCTGGGTGGCTGGATGTAACCGAGATCGGCCGCGCTAGCGGCGGCGGCGGCAGGCGGGGGCTGGCTCCGGGGCTGGCTCGGCTCGGCGCAGCTGGGTGTGTGTGTGTGTGTGCGCGCGTGAGTGTGTGCGTGTGTACAAAGCCGGGTCCCCGGAGCTGCCCGAGGGCGGTGCTCGGCAGCACAAGGCCAGCCCCCCCCCCCCCCCCCC